ATTCCAAGCTCACAGCGCGATCCTCATCATTGACAAACGCTTCCATGTCGACGTACTTCACCTTCCGCTCTTTGTCTTTCTTCGATCGTCTCGGACACGAAGAAATGAACTTCACGTCATTGGCAAATGTCACATTGCGCTTTGTCACTTTTCGGGTCGACGTAGTCGTTCCCGAGGATTCGTCATCTGTTGAACAATCCGAATCAGCGTCGCTGTCAACGGATGGACAATCTGACTCCTCCTCATCTTGTTTTGAAGATCGCTTCCATATAGCCGGAGCTGATGGATTCCACCTTCGACACAATCTGATGGCGGGTGCAGCAGGGAGTGCCTTGGCCTTGGCATTCGGCTTCGCTGGAGCTGCCTTCGCTTCGGATTTGGCTTTAGCTTTTGCCTTTGGTTCCGGAGCTGGGGTAGCTGCTGCCTCATGCTTGAAAGGACAATTCTCTCTTGAGCACGAGCCTGTGTTCTTGAACGAGTAGCAAATCCTGTTTCCTCCTCCTCCAGATGGACTTGGAGTTCTCGTCCTCGGCGTGAAGGGTCGTTCTGGAGTCTTCTTCGAGTGACTGAATGGACACTTATCGCCATTTCGACACCCTGCATCTGTGAAATGGAACTTGCAGCGGATTTGCTTCTTGCTTTTGTCACCTCTGTTGTCCGCTGACTCACTCCTCGTCTTCTTCTTGGGCTTCGGCTTGGTCTTCGCATGACTCTTCGCTTTGCTTTGAGGTAGTACAGGTGTTGCTTTGTCCGGCTTGGTCGGCGAAGCCTTGACCTTTGCGGATGGAGCTGCGTTAGGCGTAGGTTTCTCGGGTACCTTGGCCGGTGCAGCAAGCAAATCCTTGCCCTCAAGCATCTGACGCAAGCCAATTTGAGTCTGAGTGAGATTTGACTGTTCTCGTTTCCGCATGATGGTACGATCAATGATCTTCATCAGGTTGTCGTACGATCGATCTTCATGATTGTAGGGCAGGTGTTCATAGTGCATGCCCAAGTCCATTTTCATTGCGGGCGAGTCCTTGATCTTGCTGTACAAGCAATCACGGAGAGCTGTTTTGGATGGAATGTCCTCTGGTCTCATCCGTCCCAGAACTTCCAACCACGTCTGCTTGAACGTATGAAGCTTGTTGTCGCCTTGGTACTGGAGCTTCACCAAATACTCAAGAGTGATGATCATGTCAAGACGATCATGCGTTCGAAAACTTTCGTACATCATCGCAATGACTTGTCGTCCTTTGATGATCTTCACGTCAGGCCTGCTGATGTAATCGTTGGCCTTCCGGTTCACCTCGAGGTACAGGTCAGCTGATTTGTCACCACCGGCACGTAGCATTGCGACCATGGCGATCCCCAATTTGACGTCGATGCTCTTGAACTTCTTGTGTCCTGAATCATTCAATGCTTCGACATCAGGGAATGGGTTGAACGCTGGTGCCAGCCATAACATCCAGTCCTCATGATGTGGGTCGGCTGATGCCCCTAAGACATTGCCGTGCACACAGATCGCCAGTTGTTGAGATGAGTGAGAGTAGGCCATGGAGGAACAGTAACTTTGTCGGCTTCCCTCCTGGAAATTCTCACCTCTGTGACTTCAGGATCCGCATCTCCATCAGGATCACGCGCATGCGAACCAGGATCCGATTCGGGTTTGCCCCCTCCACCTTTCTTCTTGTCATCATCGTCGTCAGGCGGATCTGGAGGATCATACCCCGTGCCGGTACCTTCATCATGCTCTTCCTCTCCGTTCTCGTCGCCAGCTTCATCACCGTCATCGTCTCCATTGTTTTCTTGAATCGTTTCAGCGAATAATCTCCACTCATCACGATCAGCTCTGAGACGTTGTTCGGCTTTCTGAGCCTTGAGTACTTCACTTCGCAGATCAGCAATCTTCTCCTCGTACTGTTCCGCGATCTCTTTCTCGATCTGACGCCTCCTTGCCTCATGGATGGAATCGTCATAGGCGACAGGGGGACCAATGAGGTCGTTGCCCTTCGTAGATGCGGTGACACCGTCGATGCCAACAGGTCTTGAGGAGCTGGCCGATGCTGTGGACTTCGATCCCAACATCCCGCGATCCCCCAAGAGTTCGCGTAGCTGTCGATCACGCACGGCTGCCGCATCACTTTTCCCATGAAATCCGCTTGGTATGCCAAACAAAGTGGCTGCACTAGGCGTGGAACGCGCAAGCGCTGGGCTGCTAATACCTGGCACGTGGTGCTCGGGCATTGCATCCGCCACGATTGGCATTGAACTGCGGCCAGTGAAGAAGTTTCCACCGGTGAATGGAATTCCGTCCATCACAAGGTTCTTGTCCTTGTCCGATTCCGAGAATGCGAACTTCTCTTTGGCGACTGGACTAACTTGACTTGGGGACCGTATTTCAGGGGATCGTACCTCATCTCCTACGGAAAATGCAGGCATTACATCCTTTCCTACGTGCTCCCAGCCAGACTCAGTAGTCCTCGAAGACATGGGCATGCTCGAAGGTCGCGTCGCTCCTCCTTGATTGGAGTTTCGCGCTGCCTCCAATTCGCTGCGTGTCCTCGCTTGAAGATCTTCTTGTGCTTTGAGCGTTTTCCTGAGTTCACTCAGCTCGTCGTGCAAGGTAGGCAATGATCGCCTTGCATGATCTTCATTCTGATGAAGTCGTTCCTCTGCTTCTTGCATCCTCTTCACAGCCATTCTGCGGTACTCTTCCTCTTCACCAAGACGTTCGCGAAGCCGAAATCGTTCTTGTTCAATGGCTGCGCTGTTTCCAGCTAGCCCTTGGATCTCGTTCACAGCCCGCAACTCCTGGTTCTTGACCAAGTGGAATCGTTCCTGCATTGCTTGTAAGGCTTGTTCCGAACTTGCTGTGTTTGACCGGAGGACCAAGTTCTCTCTGGCGTGTTCATGAAGTTCATGAGTCAGACGCTCATACTCACGTGCCATAAGCTCACCATCACCTTGCGCTCTTGCCTCCAACTGCACAAAGTTGGTGGCTGCCTCCGTGCGGAACACGTGTAGCTGTTGAGCTAAATCCTCGGCAACGGCATGTGCTTGACGTTGTTGAGCAGAGTTCTGCTCATCCATGCGAAACAAAGCTGTTTCATAGTCTCGCTTCATCTCCTGATTGACATTGTTGATGTGCCTCATGGCTAAACATGCATGATCACGTTGTCGTTCCAATTCCTCAATGCGAATTCCAGATCCTTCATCTTCTTGCTGCATCTCCTTGATCTTGTCCATCAGGGTCTGCACGATTCCTTCGTACTCTTGCACCTGACTGCGATAGTACATCTGTTGTGCAAGGTTCGATGCTTCGAACTGTTGCGAAATCGTCAGTTCCTGGTAGGCATTCGGACCATCAGCTATTGCAGGCGTGGCCACGGATGATGCATCACCACGTGCAGGAATCGTATCCAGTGTCATGTCCAGATCGTCAGAGTCGCGTGGTTGATTGGTAACCATCCGATTCCAAGTCATGGACTTGTCACGCCCACGGGTAGCCGAAGTCCTCGATCGTGCTGAAGAGCTTCTCGAAGATGATGGTCTTGACTTCTTCTCCAAGGTCTTGACTCCTTTGTCCTTAGCCCTGGACGTAGTCCGAGGTGCCTGAAAACCAGACGCTTCGGCCCGTCGTTCTGGAGCCTTGCCCGTCCTCGAACCTGTGGATGTCGGACGTGAAGGCGTAGATGCTCTTGGTAGACTCTTTGCTTTCCCCTTGGGAACTGCCTTTGCAATGGCAAGCGCAGAAGATTGACCTTTGTCATCCTCCGTGGAGCTATCAACGGATTGCACCACTGTGTCATCAGCTGTTGACTCACCAACGGCTGGCGCTGCCACATCGGCACCGAAAGTCATTGTCGTATCTTGACTTGATCCTGAGTTCATTGTGGTCGTAGTAGATCAAGTAGTCGTTGCTGTAGAAAGGCAGAGCCGCGTACGGCTGATAACCTGCGTGGGGGATTGATCTCGACTTGGTTGCTGCTCTCCCCACCAGAGCTGTAATGAATGTAGGTGTGGCTGGCTAGCACTCTCCACAGACTGGACCCTGTCTCTCCCTCTTACTTCCACACGTGCGATCCTATGCAGGCAGAACCGGCGGCCGTTCCTTTTGCACTCACTGCCGGCGGCGGTTCGTCTGTGCAACGGGATAGCTCTGATTGCTCAGGATAGAAGACACATATAGCACTTAGCTATGGGCATTGACTTGAGCCAAACGTTGCGTTGGCGGTCACATAGAAAGGTAAAGATGAGGGATGCGTAGCATGCCCCCTAGAGTCGAGGGACGCGTAGCGTGCCCCCTTCTCTTGCACTTTACACGGTCTTGCTCACAGCTCTTATAGTGACACCTTAGAACTTGACAAGGCATCGCAGTCCGTTCGCATAAACACACCCCTCATGTGGCGACTCCATTTCGTCATCTCATCTCCAACACTATCCATGGCGGGGCGATTCCGATTCATCATATCTTGCACACGCCCTCTCATTTGGCGATTCCGACTCATCAGGTATCTTTAACACGCCTTTCCCAAGGAAGCAGATTCCGGTTCATCATATATCTTTACACGTCCCCTCCATTGAAATTTGGGGAATGTGGTCAGTATTATACAGATGGTATACTATATCATTTGAAAAACGCCTTTCATTTGGCGATTCCGGTTCATCATATATATTAAACACGCCCCCCCCCCCCAACTTGCGCGATTCCGCTTTGTCATATACCTTAAACATGCCTTTCCTTGCTGGCCTATCTACGGTTACAACGTATGCGCATGTAAGGCTTCAACAGACACCTAAAATACAGAAAAACATAGATACGTAAATCAAAAAAGAGAACACAAAAAAACACAGATAACGCAAAAAAGACAAAGACTACGCAAAACCAAGACACGGATTAATTACCCAAAAACTTGGGCACGGGAAGCTATTATTTGGGACATGAGACAAAAAAGGAGAAACAAGACACAGACAACGCCAAGAAAAAGACACAGATAACGCAGAATCAAAGACACAGATCACCCCCGTACCGGATACAATAGAGCGCAAGCATCACCCCTCCTGAACATGCAGCAAAGCATCTTCTTGCTATGCAAGTACTGTAGGGCAAGCGCCGCTGCGGCGACATAGAATTTTGCACAGTCTTCATTGCCCCAAAGATTCTGCTTCTTGTATGTCGAATAGAGCTCCCCGCCAAGTGCCACTTCGAGGAGGAAGTGCAGGAAATCTGGGGCATTGAATGTTTCGTGAAGTCTGATGATGAAGGGACAATCGCACATCCTTGGGATGCAGGGCCGCTTGAGACTGTGCGACTAAGGCGGCTACATACCTGCAAGCAGAAGTGTTGGCTGACAGATTACATACGCTAAACCCAAGCGGCAGCTGTACCTTCTTCTCGCTCATGACACTTGCTTGCATTCCTTCCTCGACGACCTAAGTTGTCAATTTACGAACACAAATATCACAGTTCACGGTGTGGCAGCTCTGCTTGTCGAGGAGCATGGCCCTTGCTGATGGACTTCAGTGCGAACATTCGGCCATGTCCGTCTTCCACGAGCTGCACCGTTCCGAAGCCACCGTTGCCTAAACGGCCGCGCCTTGGAACAAAATGGCTTTCGCATCGACTTCACAGTTCCGGCACCATGATATCGCACCCCTTCGATACGTTTTCAGTGCATTTTCATTGTTTGCATCTTTGAATATACGAAACACTAGCCAGTGCCAGTGCTAGCCAGAAGATGATCCCGACATGTGCACTTGCAGAGACCGTTCCAGCAGTGATTTTGGAAGCTCAGGGTCTAGGGTTTAGCGTTGCGGCAAGCCTGACGCAGATCCCAAATGCCGAGGCACGGCATCAGATGCTGGAACTTCACGAAGGGAAAGACTACCTGCGCTTTAGGTGCGTGTTAGAACCCACGGTGGCGTGTGTACCACGGTGTGAAAGCTCGGGGCCTGCTGCTTGAGCAGCACGTCGTCGCCTGAGTCCTGCAGCACGCGCGCCTTGGTGGGTCTTTGCATCAGAGGTTCGCTAGACTTCGTTAGTTCATAAGTCTTTGAACAGCTGAAGGCTAATGGTTGGGAACCGCTTGGCTGGGGGCAGAAGACTTAAACGCAAATATTTCTTGTTCTTGAGTTTGGCGGGTTTATGATTTAAATGGTCGACGGATGCGGGGATATGTGCCGACGTACACATTACACACATACCATTTCTTTATGTACACGCGTGTGTCTGTGTGTGTGTGTGCACGCGTGTGTTTACCAGCAGTCTCATTATCGGAGGCGAACTTCATACGACCAATAAAGTAATTATTGCATGTAATAGTTACCCAGAGGCTCTCCAACACAGACGACGTTCAGAAGACAGCCGTACTATTACTATACACCAGAGAGGTGACATGGGAATGACATGGGGAGGAGGACGCATACCCCACATACCACTTCCTTCGCAGGACAGCACGTACGGCGGGAGAACCATTAGGGGAGGGAACCCCCCCGAACCGCAGGGATAAAGCAACAACATCAACATCAACATCAATATTAACATAATCATCAACAAGGGGAAGCAACGCGAACCACAGGGTGGGAAGGGACACCAACAACAACTGCAGGGGGGACGGGAAAAGCCAGGTTTATGGCAATGCAATGCAATATATGTAACCAACACTGGTAGCATATGGACCATTGCCCCAACTACTTCACAGGAGGAGGGAGAGTGGAGAATCCGTTCCACAGAAGGGGAGGAGGGGGCAACCAACCCGAACCAAACGGGGGGAGGGAATAGGTGCGGCAGTGGTATATATGGCAAATAACATACGGCCATATACTGTATGGACCACGGGGGGAGGGGGTGGCGCAACCATATACAGGGTATGGAGAGGGAACCAGGCCTACATAAAGTTGTACCTGACACGACACCGAACATCCCGAATGCCAAAAGGAGCGTGCAGCCAAACCTGGCAAGTTATGAAAGCCTAAAGTGCCTGAAGCATCAAAGCAACAGGGTTGTCTGGGACCGTGGCCAAGAAACGACCCATGTTGCCCTTCTTGCTTTCCTGGCTCAATGGCGATGAAGCCCAAAACGGCAACAAGCTGCTATTAGCTGGGGCCATCATAACAGTATTGAGAGCATGGCGTGTTGAAGGGCTTGGAGTCTGCAGAGCTACGTAAGGGCCCATGGCCCAAAAGACTGGCCTGCATCACCGAAGTCACTGAGTTCGTCATTCAACTACACCCGACCTGACTTGTGCACCTAACTGAAACATCCTTGGGGACGTTATGAAGGCTCGGCAGTTAAGACTTCATTCTGCAACCTGCTTTGCCACCGGTACACGCCGCTCGCATGACAGCTAACACGAGCTCTAAAAAACTTGTATAGACGTAGATGGGTCTGACACTTAGCGGTTGCCGCTACGCAATCGGGAATGCTCACACAATTTCCTATGTTTATTCGCTTGACTCACATCGTGCACGAACTGGCTTTGTTCAGTGCGCCTCGTGGTAGACATCCTCGGGCTTCTCCAATGGTGCCTGACATCAAGATGCCAGCTGTGCCAGCATGCGCTGCACTCGTCGAGCCCACTCGCTCTGCGCAGCTAAAGACCAATCCTGTAACACGACAGAGGAATCAGAAAGTTTAGGCTAGTCATCTACGAGTATGGCGTAAGCGTAGACGCTGGTGGACTTGCTTCGCAAGCACCAACGTGTCGCTCACTGCCTCCATGCCACCACACGACAAACCTGCAACGCTTCAGCACAAGCGAATCGGGAAACGTGGGAAGGTTTTGCGGTGCTGCCTTCAATAGGTACGTCAGCACAAACGCACTGAAGCTGTAGCATCTCTTTTTCGACAAGGCTAGTTGCAGCTTCCTCTTCGCGTCTTGCATCTTTCAAACACTGCAGACTGGAGCAAATACCGTTTTGAAGCTGTGCTTCGCTACACGCTTCAAACAATCACGAGCTGCTGACACCACAACATGCTGTCTGTGGCGTCCCAGAAACCGTTCACATCAATACAGTCGCTTTGAATTCAGAAGAACAGGTCAGCCGGCAGTGTGACGGTTTACATGCCAAATATGCCAGAATCTACATCCACTGCTGCCGCTTGGACCTGACGTCGCCATCAAGACTAGTTCAAGTTCTTCCATCTAATTGCCGCTTCCGCTCCACGAATTCGGACTGTTGTACTGGCCTGTTCGGCGGCGGCAATGTGTTCAGTAGCATCGGTGTTTCCTTGTTGTCTCGCATTGCTCTCGCCGCGCTTTCCTTGGCCTCCTTCGTCGTCCGACAATATTCTCCACAGTAAGCGCGCTCTCCGGTTGACCAGGGCACACTGAACTGCATCCTGATCAGGCCGTGTGCTTTCTGAGGTTCAGCCCACGGCAGGGAGTCTCCTAAGCAAGGCTGCTGCTGCGCTGCCATGGCCAATGCCGTGCAACTCATAGGTACCAATGCCCCACATTGCATACACAACCGTCAAGTGCATTTCTTGCGGGAGGCCGTGGGTCAACTGCTTGAGCCTGCTCGCGTGCATGCGGATTCGCCCACGAACAGTCGCACGCTCAATCACTGATTCAGACACGTTGGCATCACAAAGTTAGGGCACCTGCTACATGAACAAAACTCCTTCCGATCTCACGAAGCAGGGGTAGGATGAGTCGGGCTTCCATGCGCATTGATAACAAATACGCATCAGCAACAACACGATGTCCGACTGCAGGGATGCTGCAGGCTCCGAGAGGTTTCCAACATCTGCTAGCGGCTTTGCGAAACCTGAGGATATCCCACAGCGAATTGTCTGCAAGTCACCGCCATACTCACAACTTGGCTTGGAAGCATCGCGGGAACGCAATGCTACTGCGCGCCTTGGGCCCCCATTCGCGTCTGGTACTTCCAGCAGGCATGCCGCGGAGAGTGACTTCCTTGCGCATTCCCCCGTGTTCCCATATTCCCGTGCAAGCACTGCATGTCCCTTTCTTCGAGCGGCTGGTGGAACGATGGGTGGGTGGGGGCCAATGACTTCGAATTTGCTGGCTTTGGGCTCGGCTTCAGACCGTCAGAAAGCAAAGCCCAAGGTGTCGTCTCTTCTTGAAGCTACCCCAGCTAGAAGTAACTATCAGAGGTCCCCAAACTGTGAGAATGGCAGCCGAAAGAGCCAAAACAAGACTATCTTGACGGATATTGAAATAGCTGGCATCAGCTGATGCGAGTGTCAGCTGAAAGGTATTAGAAAGTCTTTAAACCCCCAAGTCAAACCTTCCAAATCCCTTTATTGCCTAAATTCCCCATTCAGCTCCATCAAATTCTCGGACCCAACAACCCCTTAAAACCTGAGACCGCTAAAGACTCAAAGACCCTGTCAAAATCAACTTCCATTGAAAGCACGGGAGGATGGACACCTCTGAACTTAGTGGCATGACTTGACCACAAGATTTGAAGTTGCCTGTGCATCGGTCACGCTCTCGTTGTCCTTGGCCGTCTCTTTGGTCGGGAATTCAGTCACCTCGGCCACAGGCGTTTGCGAGGCCTTCCTCTCAATCAAAACACTCACAGTGATAGCTTCACAAGAAGATGATGTGGAACAGCAGGCCAAGTCCGTGCACCGCGCACTCGCCCACGTAAGGCAACGTGGCATCTTGAAAACGATCTTAATTAGACGAACTCAACTTGAATCTGCCTGCAGCTTCTGAATATCTGCTTCGAGCTGGTCGGCGTCGGCAGACATCTCCTGCAGTGAAACCACACGAGCGTCTTGAACCTATTGAACAGGCGGTGTCTCAAGTTTCGGGCCCCGGGCCAGGTTGGCCGGAGCCACGCCGCGGAGACGCTCTGCCTGAGGATGCTTGCGCTGACCATAGAGCCAAGCACATGAAACCGGAGACACCCAGTCCCAACCAACCTCCTTCTCGAGGAAGGCCGCGACCTTCTCCTGCCACAAGACTAAGACTAGCAGCTTCCATTGCAAAGCAGGGCAACCAGGACAAGCACATGGACAACCCACTGAGTGGGTTTTTCCGGATTCGGTGGTCTCGCCAGGAAGATGCCGGCTCAAAAACAACCCTGATATAAACATTCACGTAGGTGCAAGTAAAAATGGATTAATTGACGTGTCTTGCAGGTGGAAAGGGTGGACCCTGGAGACACGAGGAGCGAACAGAATCCCACAAAAACATCTCGAAAGAGAGAGATGCGATGACTTCATTCTGTGCACGTCTCCTGAAAACCCTGGTCCTCAGCTGGAAAAGAGGGTGTGCTTCTGAGGCAAAGCAGCACAACCCAAACCCACCCTTTCGCCTTCAAATCTCCGCGTGCTTTTCTGACTCGCGCGGCCAGGGATGTGCCGGAGACCTGCACCCAGGGGCGCAGCTATGTCAGGCGTGTGAGAGCCAATGGGCAAATTCAGTTCAAGCGCCTAAGTTCCAAGACTTGATCACAAGATTTGAAGTTGCCTGTGCATCGGTCACGCTCTCGTTGTCCTTGGCCTTCTCTTTGGTCGGGAATTCAGTCACCTCGGCCACAGGCGTTTGCGAGGCCTTCATCTCATTCAAAACACTCACAGTGATAGCTTCACAAGAAGATGATGTGGAACAGCACCGCGCACTCGCCCACGTAAGGCAACGTGGCATGCAAAGATCACTGCAGCCTTCTGAATCACTTTGGGGCAGAGGCTTCCTGGACGGACTGGTCCTTCGTGGGGAGTTGCAAGTCGGAGAGGGAACTTCGAAGCAGCGTGTTTGCGACTGCCTTGTATTCACAGCCAGCGGCCAGTTCACCCTCGAGCATCACAGCCTTTGCAGGCGTCAAAGGGATTCTTGCCGAGCGATTCCTCACAAGCCAATCCTGCCCTGCACCCCTTCTCATCCAAATTCTGAGCCCGGCACAAGGAAAAGTGGCACTGTTTCGCCGTTCATTGCCTCGCCAATGGGATGATGTCCAAACGAGGCACAGGCAAGTTAACGTGATAAGGGAAGGAATATGAGTAATATGAGGCCTTAGGAGAGCTGCTTGACCTGCGACAAACCTTACCCTGCACACCAGCCTGGGGGAGAGAACCTGCTTCAGGCCTTTTCAGACAACGGACATGAGAGCCAAAGCGACTCGTTCATTGACTCTGCAAAATATTTACTCGTGACCCGGCAGTAAGTCTGTAAGCATGTACAGAAAGATTCCGAGTTTAGAGACTTGCCAACGGCTGAAGAGAAAAGCTCCCTCTTCGCACACTTCTTCATGTCTGACCTGCACCCCTGATGACGCAAGACACTGCACAAACGTCGACTTGCAAGGAAGGCCCGGGGCTCCCTGTCAGACATGCGCTGCTGCACCTCTAAACTGTAATTCAAAGCACAGAGGTTGATAGACGATGTGAGAACCTTGTTGCGACAAGTGATGGTTGTTTGCGTACATACATGCATGTGTTCATGGTGGTGGGTCGCACAGGAGCCTTTACGGTATGCGGCCTCGGGGTTCATGTCATTCGCGGCACTACGGGATATGTCCGGCCTTTACAACAAACTAGAGCCTTTTCGAATGTTCCCGGGGGATCCAGCTTTCTGGGCATTCCTACCGTGGTCTAGCTTGGGCATTTTAGCTTGTAAACTTTTGGCTTTGGGAGTTTAGGCTGTCTACTTCTCGGTCATGCGAGCAAGGTTGTGCGACCACTGACTTATTCAGCCTTGAAGAAAGCGCCACCCTGAAACGGACAGCGACACGCCAACAAAGCGCGCCTTGGTATTGGCATACCATATGCCCCATGACTCGTCCCCCTGGCACGACCAGGACTTGGCACATGCACGCCGAAAAGTCGCTTCGGCTTTACTAGCAGTTACCAGTGGAACTACGTAACAAGACTTCTAGGATCTCTCTTGGGTATTCTCCATCCCGAAGCATGCAAAGTCTCTCCTCGAGGTCGGAGCCGCTGAACGCCATTGCCAAATGTAGAGGCACTACTGGAGCAGTCGTAGTCGTAGTGCTTAGTAGTCGTCGTCGGTTTAAGTTTCAGTGCTCTGAATTATTCGACAGCTGCAATCACCAACATGCCAACCTGCTTCGATCAAGCTTTCTCAGTACCTGCTATCAAGATGCCGTCCAAAGGGAGCTGCGTTTCAATTATCTATCCCGGTGAGCCGGTCAAGGTTCAAGGTGTTGGGATCTCGAGTGGGAACTAAGGCTCCGGGTTGGGGTTGAAGGGATGTGTATTCCGTAGTGGTGCTGGGTGCTGCCGTTGTATTACCTGCTGCTTGCTGCGTGGTGTAGCGGCTCAAGCTTGTGTTTGCTTCAGAGCCAAAACGGATGCACATCCGAGCAGGAATACCAGCAGAAGTAAGCGTCGTCCTTCGTTAGCCTGAAATCCCTGAAACTGTCGAGTCGCGAGAATCTCCTGTCACACACGCCAGACACACACCAAGGAGTCACGAGTTTCCGGCAATACTTACAGACGGACTCGAACTCCGTCCTGGCAGAGTGTTTGCCATCACAAGAGGCCGCCGCGTGCCCCGGTACAGCTACGTGCCTGCCTTTTCACTGAGACAAGCAGGCCTGGTGAGAATTCCATTGTCATCCGCATCCAAAAACAGGAAGAACTCATTGGCTGAAGGCTTCCTGGGCCAAGCTGGTTCTGGTCGAAGACGAAGTCTGATAGCAAGAGACGCGAAAACAGCTTGCAGTGCTACTGCTCGACCGAAGGACGTAAAATTGAAGGATGGCTTGTAGGGGCCCACCTGCATCTGTGTATAGTATAGTCCTGTGTGCATATGATGCTAGTTGGCCTGGTCTTGTTGAAATCCAGACCTTGTGCCACGACATCCTCTAGCAGGTTCAATGAGAACTTCCAGTGTCCTCGTGTCACGACAACAGCACGAGATTCCGGCCAAGCCTGGCTGCTGTTGGCGAAGTGTTTGTGCAACCATCTGCAAACGCACATCCTCACTGCCTCTTAGGCGTGTCAACAACAAGCGAAATCTTCTCATTATGCACAGCTTGTATGAAAAGGCCCGGTGTGAGTGAGCACACTTCCACATTACTCCCGAAGCATCATACGAGGTCCAGGCTGTCGCAGCAAACCCAAAAGCAGTGGAGATTTCCGACTTGGAGATCAACTCGTCCTGGTCGAAAGGCAAGGCAAACCACTTAAAAGATATTGACGACACATGCACAAGGGCTTCTTTCCAACAGGGCTCGACAACGGTTGGATGGTGGGTTTCAGGTTCAAGCTCGGAGTGGCGAAACGGTGTAAGGTTTTCCGGCTGCGAGGCTTGAGGGTTGTCGTGGATGTAGTTGTTCCGGCGATTGAGTTTGGTTTACCCAGGGCCGGCGATCACTCAGACAAAGCCATAAAGCACTACAGTAGCAGGCCCGCAGCGCACCGGCCCGGCAATTTGTTTCGCATGTTTTCGTGTGTACGACAGAGCAGCTGAACATTGCTTCGCTAGACAGATTGAAAACACAAACCGAGCTGTAGCATCGGCAGATGCTGTGGCTCTGCAGCTGCTTTGACTTTAACTTCAAGCCTATGTGATGCGGCAGGAGTCTGTGATTCGGTTCATGCCGTAAGCCATGATGACACCTCTTCTCAGCTCCGAAGCCACGAGACGAAGCGGAGCTAAACGCGAAAGAGCACACTGTGACAGAATCTCAGCACGAGCTTAAACAATCCCGCCGGACTCCTTCAGATGCACGGAGTTGACGTAGGCATGGACTGCATCGCCCGAGGAGCGCCTCTGGAAGACAGTACAGAGCTGCTGCTGTCCTTGGGTCCTTGGGTCCTTGGGTCCTTGGGTCCTTGGCTTGGGCTTCAGACTGGAGGGTCCGCAAAAATCTTCGAACGGGACCAGATCTGGGACCCGAGACCCTGAAAGCACCTCGGAAGCCTTTCTTCGAGCCTCCTCGCATTGCACGCGACAGCGCGCACGGCAGCTGCTTTTCTCTCCATACTCAGGGGTTTACCGGGTTATTTACCTCAAGCGCCAGCTTCGTCGCTTGTCACCACGGTCGGTCTCCAATTCCAAATTATGTGTGCATTGAAGTCAACGCCGACAGCTTGGCCGGGGCATCAAGCTGGTCACAGGGTACATGGCCCTGCCCGTTTGAAGCGACTTTAACACATCGTACGACTGTGTCACGCCTTGTCTGGAGCCCCGTCAGCTGCTAGTAAACACCCTGTCGCTAAGCACGGGCGGGTATAAGTCAAGCTTGCAACTCTCCGCCAAGATCTTTTAAGCTTAGCGCCTTAGCGCTGCAAGACAAGGAGAAGGAGGAACGAGGCAAAAGTTGAAGCCTTCCTGTGCAAAGCATAGCTTATGTCTGATTCTCCGGTGACCGGACTCGTCACCGTCGTAGTCATGGACATTGTCATGGTATCTGTCACTGTCATAGTCTCCGTGACAGTGGCAGTGGCTGTGGCACTTGCAGTCACGGTGGCGGTGACGCCGGTCGCAGTGACGGTCGTCCCTGTGACGGTGGTCACTGTCGTCACGGTGTTCGTAATCACCGCAGCCGTAGTGGTCGTCGTCGTATCAATGCTGAACACCAAGAGAGAGTCGGAATCCCATCCGGTTACATAAGCATATGCACCAGCGATCGCAATGCCACGGGAATCTTCCAGCGCGGGGTGCTGCCAATTGCCCACGATGGTCAGGTTGCTTGGGTCGCTGATGTCGATCATCGTCACGGAGTGATGCTTCGCTGATGTCACGAAGGCGTAGTTACCATCAACCGCAACCGCCCAGGACTCCTGAAGGAGGGTCGAGTCCTCGATGTAGCCTCTGGGTTCTTGCTGAACTCAACTTTAAGCTACCCTACAAGTAGAGGAAGGCATAGTTTGCAAGATGTCCCTCTTAAGGCAACTCTCATTGCAGCTGCTGAGCACCCAGGCCTCCGGGATCCGATGCTGAGGTTGCTCGGGTCCGCGATATTGATCGCAGCGAAGCCGTTCTTGTCGTGACAAGCCACGTACGCGAAGTCCCCGACAACCGCCAAGCCTCTGGCTTCTGCGAGTCTGCTGTCCCCGATGGTGCCCGCGATTTTCATGTTGTACGGGTCGGTGATGTTCACTAAGGTCAAAGAGTCCTCGCTGTAGGCCGTCACATAGGCAAGGTTCCCGACGATCACGATATTCTCCGCGCCATCTAGGTCGCCGTCTTTGAACTGGCTGGCGACCGTCAGGTTGTTGGGGTTGCTGATGTCGACCGCTGTCACGGCGTCCTCGGAGAAGCAGGTCACAAACGCGTAGTTGCCGGCGATCGCCACGTCCTTGGCACCGTCGAAGAGGTCAGCGTCTTGGAGAAATCCCACGACGGTCAAGTTGGTCTTGTCGGCGATGTGGACTGCGACCAAGCTTTCGTAGAAATTCGCAGCCACGTAGGCATAGTCTCCAGCGATCGCAAGCCCTTCAGCACCGTTCATCCTCCGGTCAAAGATGCTGCTTACAAAGCTTGGCTTGTGCGGGTTGCTGACATCGATCACGGTAAGAAAACCTTCGTCGCCGACCACGTAGGCATAGCTACCATCGACTTTCACACCGTGGGCTTCGTCGAGGAAACCCTGGGGGTTCTCGCCGAAGAAAGCAACTTCGTTGAGGTTGCTTGGAGCGCTGATGTCGATCACGGCCATGCCCTTGTGCATCAAGCCCTGGTTGTTCGGACCCTGGCAGGCCAGGTAGGCATGGTTCCCGACAACGGCAAAGTTGCTCCCATATGCGAAAGTAGCTGTGTCTGAGAGGTCGTCAGTAATTTGGACACTGCCGACGATGGCGAGGCTGCTTGGGTCGCTGATATCAACGGTCACAAGGCCATGCCGAGTTGAGACATAAGCGTAGTTCCCCACGATCTCGAGGTCCATGGGTTGGTTCAACAGGGTGGAATTCGAGAGCCTACTGTGGACCGTGACATTGGACAGGTCGGTGATGTCGAGCACCGCCAATGCACTGTGTGCTTGCGCTGTCACGTAGGCGTGGTTCCCGACCACAGCGATGCGACGAGCTCCGTCCAGTTGACCTCCTGCGTGGAAGACCGCGGCAGGGGTGGGGCTGCTTGGGTCGGAGATGTTGAACACTACAAGGTTCAGGTTGCTGTTGTCACAGACCATATAGGCAAGGTCACCGACCACGTCAATGCCTCTAGCGGAAGTCAGCAAGGGGTCTCGAAAGGAAAATGCGATGGTGAGATTGGTCGGATCAGTGATGTCGAACACCAGAAAGCTGTTTTGCCACGTAGAAGAAACATAGGCGTAGTTTCCATTGAGAACAACATCATCAAGCGTACCCATCAGATTAGGATCCCGCACTGAGCTCACGACGGTCAGGTTGCTTGGATCGGCGATGCTGAGTGACACAAACTGATTGTACGTGCCCACGTAAGCGTAGTCTCCTCTGATCGCAATCCCAGAGGCACCGCCCAAGGTGTCACGGTCCTTGATAAACCCTACCAAAGCTGGGCTGGTGGGATCTGTGACGTTGAGCACCGACACGCCACCGTCCCACTCCGCTGTGACGTAGGCGTAGTCGCCCGCGACGGCAATCCCGTAGGCTCCACTGAGCTGAACAGGGTCTTGGAGGGCGGCTACGACGTCCACCATCTCGATTCTCGCCGATGCCTCACTCCACATCATACCAACTTGCAGCAGAACACCCAGACCGAAGGTCATGGTCATGGCCCGGAATCAACACAGCGGCGAAGGGAAGAAGCTGACTCGGCTGTCTTTGCTTGGGATGCAGCAGCTTGAGCCGTAGCGTTTCGGGCTTTTTGGTGGGCTCTGTTCCAATTGCACAAGCCTCCTCCCTTTTTGAGTCAAGCTGCGGGAAAGTGAGATGCGAGAGGATCTCGGCAAGGAAGCAGACCAGGCCGCTAGGGGCGAGCAGGCCCCTTGCGTCGCAGCCCAACAGCTAGCAAGGGAGACATGCCGACTCACACAACAGACTTCGAAGCAAAGCT